GGTGGTGGTGGTGGTGGTGGTGCGACGCAATGGGTGCTACCACTCGTCTTATTCTTGAGGTTTGTTCTTATCGGCCGGTGTTTTGAGTGATACTTTTCATACTGACATAAAAATGGCAGTGGTGTCTCCTGCTCGGAGTCTTGAGCTGTTGTCACTATTCCGAGGCCGTCGCGAGCAGCAAAGTGCTCTTGGGACTTGCAGCCTCCCTAGCCTGTCAGCAAGCACTAGCTGGACATCAGAAACCTGGACCTGTGAGAAAACAGAGAGAGAGAGAGAAAGAGAAGGAGAGAGCGAGAGCGAGCAGAGACATAGACAGCTGGAGAGCCAGATAAGATGAAAAGAAAGTCAGCTATACAAGCAAACCATGCGTCCATCCATCTAGCGATGTGTCTGCTACCAATGTTTCTCTGTGCATCGAACAAGTGTTGTCGGAGATGGGATTGAATCTTGCGCTTAGATGCTTGAGGAAGTATGGTGGAGACCCCAACTACCCCACAAAATGCTCAGCCCTAAACCGTAAATCCTGGAGTCTTGAATGGGTGCTTGCGCTAGCTCCCATCTCAACGGGCAATCTGCGTACCAATGAGCCGGAGCGACGACTGCTGTTGCTGTTACAGCTGTTGCTCTTTCTCCTCTGCTCCTATAACAAAAGCCCCCGAAAGGTCTAGGGTTTCGGACTGCAGTAGGATCACTACTGCTACTGCTATTCCGACTGCTACTGCTACAAGTGCTACAACTTCTCCAAACTACTCCAACTGCCCTGTGGCCTTGCTAAGGTACTCGGCGGTCAGCTCCGCCTTGGGCAGGTCGATGTCATCAAGTCGCTTTTTGAAGGAATTGGAGTTGCGGGATTGCGACTTCATCACTGCAGACAGTGAAAATCTTGTAGCCAGGACTACAGTACTCAGAGGCTGTCCAATCAAGCCAGGATAAGTGACGTTTAGCTCGGTAGGACTCGGGGACATGGGACATCAAAAAAAAAATGATTGCGATACTATGCAGACCACTGTGCTCACCACGTTCTAGATTAACAACAGTTCCAAAACCCGGAAGAAGCCGTGTTGGTGTCTCCAAACATCCTAGAGCCAACGATGTTGATCTTGCCACGCTGTATCCGAACGGTCCGCAGTGCGAAGTGAAGATGGAGGCAAGAGGAAAATCTCGACCCGACGAGCTCAGGCTCACCAAATTCTGCGCCCAGTGTCTTTCGCGGAATTTTGTTAATTCAAATCTCGAAGTGAAGCAATGTCACATCGAGATGCGGCTTTCTCGACGCGCTCGCTGGCTGCCAAGCCTGAATGGACTAGCATGAATCTTGAGAATAGCAGCCGGCTTCAGTTCATGTTGGAGGGGTTGCGATTGACAGTCAGTAACGCAGCGGCGCTGACACAAGTCAGCTTGGGCTTGTTCTGAGAGCATAAAGAAGCTGCAAGAAGGAAATATTTTGTCTCAGTGTCGTCATCATGCTTCCGGTCATCGACCAGCATACCCTAAACTGGCGAAGCCCAAATCCTAAATTCCCGTAGTTCCCCAAACCCCTGAAGGCTCAACTAAATCCGAAGCTCGGGAATCGAGCCTGCTCGGTCCGGATGGACGAAGCCGAGGCCTGCACTGCCTCCAAGGTTTCGGGTCTCTATATCCATGTAGATACATTTTTAATATATTCATATATATATATATACATATACACACACGCACATACATACATATTCATATAGATAGATAGATAGATAGATAGATAGATAGATAGATAGACAGATAGATAGATAGATAGATAGGTAGGTAGGTAGATAGATAGATAGGTACATATAAACATGTATACATATGCATATATGTGTATAGACCGAGGCGGTTTCTTGAGGTGCTATTAGGGGTCTTTGCGGCGCTTGGTATGATAGCCTCAATAATTGGAACAGAGTATATTTTGGCGTCAATTATGTAGTGAGCATCGGGGGCAGCCTGAATTACTAACTATTCAGGACCCTGTATGGCCTGAATTACTAACTATCCAGGACCCTTTTTTTAAGAGCCCCTGAATTGATACAGACTCCATTTCACCTTTGCTGCCTGAGATGGTATGGTCGAACAATGCATAATTTCCATTCTCAGCTCGGCTCCCAAACTCGACTAACTCATCTCACTGGCGGCCCGCATGCAAGAGGAGATTTTCCTTGAGCAATGACCACTGACTCAAAGGCAAAGTCACTACAGCATCTTATGAAGATGCAGCGAAGCCCCTCGAGTGGCAGAAACTCCTGGTACGACACTGGACCCCCACCTTTGGCGAGAACTAGTCATCACCCAGTAAATACGAATCCAAGAAGCCTTTGACAACTTGCGTCAGGTGTGGCAGCAAACGTTTCTTGACAGTGGTATTCACCTTCTCGAAACCTCCCAAGCTTTCCCTGATCAGAGTCTTGATCGCCTCTTCGTCACGAGGCTCGGTAGCACTTGCATTGGCAACGTTGATGCTTTGGAAGTTGCTCTTCAGCATTACCAAGACATTATCCTCCCGGCGGAGCTCATCAGTCAGCTTCGTCGCTGCGCTATCCGGGAGCACCACATCTGGCTCAATGCTCTGCTCCACTGAGACATAGGTCTCAAATATACACCAAAGGCGATGGATGTAAACCGGATTCAAATAATCATCTAAAAGGATTATCATTTTCCCAATGGAAGATAGGTTGCACTCAAAAACCCTCTTAAGCTCCGCAGTGCTCGCAGTTGTAGACAGTCTGTACCTCAGTAGCCCAGTAGCCATAGTAAAGTTGAATTGATTAGAGGAAGGCAAACCAAAAGCAAAGGTACCACTGCAATTATAGGGTACTGGTTGTTGCAGAAGAAGCACATCCACAAAAAAACGTTCTCAGATTTTGCGTCTGACCGTCGACACCAATTTGAAAGGGCTCCAATTACATGGCGCGGGGTGTACTGCCAGCACCACGACACGAAGTGAGTGGCCCGGCCCCGGTACCTGGACCACTACTTTAGGGCCGCAAGAACTGTAATAATAATAAGGTTTTGTAAAGCATTATACCAAAAACGTATTTGTGATGTGGCTTTATGAGGGATGCTACTCTTGTCTGCATGCTACAACGCTACAGAGCTGAATCTTAGGAGTAAGTTTCTGGCGTGCGCATGTCCACATGTTCTCGGCAACCCTAAAACCCTTAACCGACCATTCCTTCGTATTCTGGAATTTCCCAACTTTTTTGGACCATAACTGTTACCCACCCCAAGAGTTGCCAAAACAGTTGAAGGCTCAGAGGAGAACTTGGGTAGGTGGATTAAGGGCCTCGGTTCACTGTTCAGGGTTTAGGCCTCGGGCATATGGGTTTATATGGGTTTATGAAGCAAGAGGGATCTTGTCTGGCGTCCCTGCAAGAACAACATCATTTTGGGGGGGCCATGGAGTTACACTCATTTTAACAGACGACCAGATCTTCCCTCAACGAAGTTGGGGGGCTTGCTTTAGGGTTTAGGGTTTTCATTGCCAAGGATTCAAGCCACTCATCCACTGTTGATGGAACTTCGAAAAGAGTTCTATTGAGTTCATCAACATGAAAGCATTCTCCAATGCCGACCCGCTACGTCTGATCCACAGCATCTACGCAGGCGCAACCTTGAGCCTGGTCTCTGGGACACGGCATCTTGGCACCAATTCCAGTCTCTCTGTCGAACATTACCACGGAAATCTCCGCAAAACCTGAGACAGGGGAGGAGGAAGGAAAGGGGCAGGAGGAGAAGTGGCAGGGAGTGGCACTTTGTCAGTGTCCTATTTCGGCCCCTCCCGTCACATGGAAAAGGTCAAAAGATGCCAAAAGCTGTTTGCGGTGCTCCTTTTTCAGCTCAGAAGCTCTTGGAGGGCCCAGCATCCCCAAAGCCCAGACCTTTGGGGGCCATCGCGGTGATGTAGGGAAGGAAGGGGTCCAGGAGGTACGCAGCGGAGATCCCCGCTCTCTCGGACTCCTCTTTCCTGGCTTTAGGGTTTAGGAACCCCGTGAGAGCTTTGCACAGTCTCGTGGCCTGGGCCTACTTGGTCAGAGTTAGAAAAGCCTTTCTAAAAGGGCTCTATAACGTATCTTAATCGCTTACATAGGCCTGGAGGGGAAATGCCTACAAGTATTCAGGCTCCGATTCAGGCTCCTACAACACAGGGCAGCTTTCAACCCAGAGTCAAGACTTCTCGTGCTGCTTCCAGTCGAGGTGTCCATGTCTGTTGAAACTGCTCCAACTGGATCTTATATTGGTCCAAAATAAACCTTGCACCCTCAGGGGCAAACCGGTGGTCGGCGATGAAATCTTTGCAAATAGCCAGTTTCTCCGCAGCTGCAGGAACGAGATAAATCTTCCCATCACAGGCGCAAATAGATTCAAACTTCTCATTCTGATCAGGATCGATGATGCCAGAGATGTTGATGCCGGCTCCCATGCCTGTGACAGGATCATAGAAAAACATCTTTCCTGCGTTGTATGGGGCCAGGTATACCTTGCCACCACTTGCGCACATCGCCCGAAACTTTGCAGTCGCAGAAGGAGTCGCAGCATCGGAGATGTCAACAGCCGTCCCCTTGCACGTTGCCGCGTCGTATACAAACATCTGTGGAGCACAGCCTGGAGCAAGATAGATCTTCCCGTCGACCGCACAGAATGAACGAAATTTTCCTTGTTGGACAGAACCCGCCGCAACGGAGACATCAACACTGGTCCCGGACTCCGTGATGGGGTCATAGACGAACATCTGTGGCGCATTCCGAGGTACGAGGTAAACCTTGCCGCCAGCCGCGCCGATTTCACGAAACTTGCCAGGCTGGCCGGAGTCTACCGCGGAGGAGACATCAACGGCCTTGCCAGTGCCAGTGCGCACATCATAAACGAACATCTTTTCGGCGTCGTGTGGAGCAAGATACACCGTAGCATCGACTGCACACATGGAATAGAACTTGCACGTCTCAGCAGATCCAACAGCGTCTGATACGTCAATGCCAGTACATATGTGGCTGTGCGGATCGTATTCCAGCATCTTCCTGGCATTGAAGGGAGCAAGATAAATCTTCCCTCCAGCAGAACAGACGGAGCTAAACTTTTTGGGCTCCTGCGGATCCGCTGCCTCTGAAACATCCACGGAAGTACTTTGGCCAGTGGCCACATCATGTTCCAGCATGCGCTGAGCACCGCTCCACGGGGCAAGATAAATCTTCCTGTCTGCTTCGCAGATGAAGTTGAACTTCCCAGATGCTCCACTCTCTCCAAGCACCTCTGAAACGTCAATGCTCAACACATCTGCGCTGGCTGTATCATAAACGCACATGTGTTTGGCATTGTACGGAGCCATGAATATCTTGCCATCCACCTCGCAGGCAGCGGAAAACTTCTTTTTGGTATCTGCCTTCGCGGTGGTGAAGATGCCCCTGACCTCCCCAAGCTGGGATGCTGATGCGCCGCTTCCCATGAGGCCACAGAAGGCCCGGGTTTAAGGCTGTCGGTCTGCAGGCGGTTTTGTCTCCAGTTACTGGACAATACCTGCTGGGCCTTCAGACCATGGCTTGCAAACTGGGACCATTGTAGGTTTAGGGTTTAGGGTTTAGGGTTTAGGTTTTTTTTTTGACACCTCTTTTCCACCTGCCTGGTTAAGTTAGGTCGGTTTAGGGTTTAGGGTTTAGGGCAATGACAAGCCAGCGCTCACTGGGAAGGCACTCAGTGGCTAGCAACCCACAGCAACCACAATCCGGAGAGCCCAAAGCCCCAAAAGGATCCCCAAGGCCAAAGCCCCAAAGCAGCCCCGAAACCGCCCCCAAGGCCCTCAAAACCTCCCAAAACCCCGGCCTAAAGCCCCCCTAAACTTTAATGCTCCCAAACTCACCGCCTACCCAAAGCCCCCCCGCAAAGCCTATCAGGGCTCGCGCCTGAAACTATACCATACTATACTTTACTCTACTATACTCTACTATATTCTACTTTTCTCGACTATACTCTACTATACTCTGCTAAACTCTACTGTACTCTACTATACAGTACTGTATAGTATATGCCGTTCCCCAAAAAAACGTCTACATCTCAAGAATCGACGGTGCGGGGTGTTGATTCTTTCTTTTTCGTTGGGGAGGGGTGGCGGTTTGATGAGGGTGAGCTCGGAGTCGCAATGTTTTCAGATTCAGAGGCAGTGCCGATTCCAATGTTAATCTTCAGTTCTGTCATATGATAGCTGTTTTACTTCTTACGATGATTGTTACGCTTGAGCATTATGCTGAAGCTTATCACCCGGTTATCATCTAAGCGGCTGGTGTGCAAGCCAAGACGGGCCAGGGCGGCTCAAAAGCGACAGGGCAACGGTGTTGACCTTAGCATCGTTTACGATTTAGGGGTTTGGGCAGATTAGGGCAAGTGAGGTCCATGCGCTGCTTCTGGGTTTCCAGGCCACCAAACTCACCAAACCCTCCACAGCAAGAAACGTGGGGCCTCTTCAACATATCAGCCCTAGAAGGGCAACGCGGCAGCATGTCTTGTTTCTCCGCAAATAAGAAATGTGGCTTCGAATCCCTCCAAAGGTCGCTTGCTGCGCAAGCAAGCCGAACTACAGCTCTCGACACAAGCTGGACGAGATTTTGACCGCTCAACTGCGGCCTTTCTGACGCGCTACGTCTCTTGCTAACACATGACGGATATCCAATGGTTTGAGGACTGGGAAGTCCTGACATGTGAAACCAAGGCGAGCTAAGCGTGTACGGGTAGATATTCTACGCTGGCAGGTGGCATTTTTCATGTAGTACATGCAGTGTAGGTATGAACTTCAAATGCAAGATCAAGAAACATGCAGCAGCAGCAACAACAACAACAACAACAACAACGACAACGACAACCACAACCACAACCACAACCACAACAACAACAACAACAACAACCACCACCAGTAGACCAGAAAACGCTGCGCGATGAGAAAGTAGCCTTGCCAAGGTGTGAGGTCAGCTCCTCCAGCTTGCCTGGCTGTCCGTCAGTCCAAACGGGTTTAGGGTTTGAGGTATTCACCCTCACAATCAACAACTGGGATGGAAGCTGCAGCACGTCTCCTGACATCATCCGGCCCTTTTCGAAAAGCAATCAAGCGACAGTCTTCCTGTCGAATGATGCAAAGCCCACTTTGAAACTGCCGAGCCTTGCCGTACGCTCCGGAACAAGTCCTTCGATGTGGGGCCATGCTGTGCCGACTGTGGTAGAGCACACCATGTTCTGCAGCAGGGTATGCACTCTAGCACAAAACAACAAAAATCTTATGTACACTCTGCTGTTGGCATCAAATCCAAAGGACATTGATGGCCTAACATCCTCAAAAACCCACTCTGCTCTGGCAGTTGAACTTGTTTGATCTCAGACTCATGGCTGTCTGGCACACAGCCGCTGCGTCCTCCAGGAAGTCTGCACCAAAGCTACCCGCCAGAGTCACCACACTGTCGGAGTTTTTTGCCTGGCAAAACCGGATTGAATGCTTGGGGTCTAGAGCTGTCACGTGAAGGCACAAGAGAAATGCTGAGCCAGATCCTGCATCCAACCACGCCGGAGTCACGTCATCTTCTGGCAAGCCTGCACTCCGAAACGATACAGCGAGCCAGAGAAGGTCCATCGTATGTTTAATCTACACAAGCCTCTTCGCCAACACTGGAACTGTTTTCCTGCACTCCTGCAATGTGGCTTCAACGTAAATACTAGCCAAAGATCTCTTCACCACAAGTTGTACCTGGTGGCAAAGAGCGCGGTGGGGTCGGAGATCGGGGTGGTGTTGCGCCGGTCGCAGTGCGATCCACCTGCAGGTCATGGCTCAGCTACAGGATCCGTAGCCCGGGGTCGAGTTCTGTGGCGACGACGACGACGATGGACGACGGACAACGGACGACGGACGGCGGATGGCGACGACCGACCAGACGACGACGACAGAAAGAGCAAGAAGAAGAAGAAGAAGAAGACTAAGAAGAGGAGCAATAACAGAAACCATAACAAGAACAGTAATACGAACAACAACAGCAGCAGCAGCAGCAACAACAACAACAACAACAACAACAACAGTAGCAGCAGCAACGGCAGCAGCAGCAACAACAACAACAACAACCACGAAAACCACAGCCGCAACAACAACCCCAACCACCACCACGGCGACAACGATGACGACAACAACCACAACAACAACAACAACTACAACAACAACAACAACAGCAATAACAGCAATAACAGCAGCAGCAGCAGCAGCAGCAGCAGCAGCAAGAGCGGCAGCAGCAGCAACAGCACCAACAGCAGTAGCAGTAGAGTAGCAGCAGCAACGACAACAGCAACGACTACGACAAGAAGAAGAAGAGAACACAACAATAACAGACATTGGCTGAGGCATCGAGCAAACTTCTCCGGCAGAAAATAAAAGACTATTCGCCAGCCATGAACAAACTTTCCAACAATCAAGCAAAACTAGTTTAATGATATGCCTGAAGTGTTGTTCTTTCTTTTCCGTCTTGCTTAATTCGTTTTTTGCTGTCTTTCTGTCTTTCCTACGTTAGTTCCTTCTTCCTGTCTTTTTCTCTCTACGATGAATTGCTGTCCTTCTTTCTTTGTTTCTTCTTGTCGTTCTTTCTTTCTTTCTTCCTGTCCTTCTTTGTGATTCGTTCTGCCGTTCGTTCGTTTGTTCTTTCTTTCTTTCTTTTGTTCTTTCTGTCTCTCTCTGTGCTGAAATGCTGTTCTCCTTGTGTCTTCCTGTCTTTTTGTCTTTCCTCCCCTCCCTCGCCCCCACCCTGCCTGCTCGTTTGCTAGATTCCTCCTCACATCCATTGTAGAAAGATAATCAAATAGTCCCTTTCCTCGCTTGATGCGGAAGTTGTTCTTGACGGCTGAAAAGTTTATTTTCGATTGTCGGGAAAAAGGTGTTTGTTGACCCGATGCCTAACAAGAAGAAGAACAGCACCCGATGTTGCCGCGATGGCATTGCGGTTCAATCAACCCACGCATCAGCTAGCACAGCTGGCAGTAGAGGCCCACGAGCTCGTTCTCATATTTCGAGTCTCGCTCGCTAGCTATATTCTTAATACTACTAACTACACCGCGTTGAGTATTCGACAAAGTGATTGGGGCAGTCCAGACGGGCACCTGGTCGGCATCAAATTCAACAAGCAAGTGCAGGTCTACCTGAACTGCACCTCGTAAGCAATGAATCCTTGAAACTACGTCGCTGGGTTTCATGCAGGTGCTGGTTCCTGTGATGCTTTACGTAGAACTACAGAAGTTTCTACATGAATGCGATGAACCCAGTAACAGTCAGTCACGCTGAGGATCTTTCATGGCCGAGCAAAAGCATTGGATGTTACCTTATGCTCGATGCCCGACCACAACGAATGCGAGCGGATGAAGATGAAAAACCGTCTCCGCTATCTTCATCATTATTGCGAAACAAGTAGATTGCTTAAGTTCCCCAAAGCAAAGACATGCTACGAAGCTGCGCACCCGCCGCTCTTCTTGTTGTAGCACCCACGGTGGAGCAGGGCCACGGGGTGTTCCTGAAGCTTCTGCGGCCAATGTCACTTCGCCTTTCTTGTCTCCAATCTTCTCCTACCATCTCTTTCTGTTTGTCTTTGGAAGCCGTCTTTGAACCCGACTCCTTCCGTAGCCCTCTGCAATCTAGCCGTGTTTCCAAGCTTGTATCTCGTGCCGCTGATGCTGTGCAGCCAGACTCATCACAACTTAAAACTTGCGTTAGCAACAGTCACGGTGACTTCCGCCACATGAACTCATTCGCTTTGAGGCACTTGCTCGGCGTAGCGGCGCCACCGTCGTGCTCCTCTTTGTCAGAGCACGGCAACCATAATGCTTGCGTATATGGACATTGGCAACGAAGGAACCACAGCAATCCACGCATCACGTGTATGATGCACGCGACCAAAACAGTCCTCACGATATGCCTGCTTAAGGTAGCGGTTCGCCGTAAGCGTCGAATCAACCTTAAGCAAAGCAAGATCACCACCGCCACCATCACCACCACCACCACCACGAACATGAGCGCCATCTTCGTCTTCGTCGTCACGACCGTCACCAGCATCTGCTCGGCGTGGTCGTCCGTCATTGTCCGGCTGTCGAGGTGGTGGTGGTGGTGGTGAAGATGATGGCAGCAGCGCTAGCATCGGGAGCAGTGACAGTGGTGAAGATGATGGCAGCAGCGCTAGCATCGGGAGCAGTGACAGTAGAAGCACTAGCAATAGAAGTAGTAATGGCAGTAGCAGTAGCAG